CGTTTCAACAGGAAAAAGAAACAGTTTGTGCTTTGTGATTCTATCTGAGTCTCTTTCTACTGTATACCTACCTACATGTGTACATGCACACTCACATGCACACACACACTCACACACATGAAGCGACGTGCGCCAAGGAGTTAGCAGTGGGACATCTCTAATCTCTACTTGGTGAAAGCACGTGGCTTGTTGGCGCTCCGCTTCCCCATGACTTTCTGGCTTTCAGCAGCGCTCCTCAACGCCATCTGCAGTGATGGAGGAGGGGCGTGCACCGGAGGATAAGGAAGATTTGCTGTGTGCCTTGTGTGTGCAGTCTCCTACCTGCCTTCCCATGAAAGCACGGTATTTTTCTTTCCCTCATTTTAGAGAAGGAAAGTTACCCTCTGAGAGGTGAACCTGCTTGCGGGTACCCGCTAATCCCGGCACAGGCTGAGAACTGTGCCAGGGCTTCCGAGTAAACGCTGCACAGGTGTCCACATAGGGCTGTGTTAGGTGGATGGGAAAATGGAAGAGGAGACGCAGGGGCTGACAGCATTCAGAGAAGCCATTGCGCAATTTTACATAGAAAAGACCTGAGGGCAGAGTGTAGCTCTAAGGCAGCATTTTCAGGAATGTGTGCGCTTTCCAGTGCTGCACTGAGTCCTCCACTTCCTAGATCGGAGTCAGCCTTGCCAGGAACCTAGAGGGTGCTCTGTGCTTCAGTAACCTCTGACTTCCCAGTCTGTGCCTCAACGTGAATTAGAGTTAATCACACCTCCTCTACGGCTGTCACCCAAAGATGTCGCAAGGATTCATGAGCGGTATGTTTGGAGCTCCTCGGAGAAAGAGCTCTTTGATGTCCTCCTGCACCACCACCAGATTAACATGCATGGCGATTGCTCATCTATTTGCTCTTCCGGTTTCTCAGGGTTGGCTGCAGTCCTTAGCAGACCTCCCAGAGAAGAAAGTCTTCCTTTGCCTGCATGAGACAGAAAGCGTTGAGGAAGTGAAGGGAGTTATCGCGCCCTGCTCCTCCCCCAACTGACTGCGTGACAGTGACAACCTGGTCACCCTACCCGTCCTGGCACACCTGAGACTGGCTTCTGTACTGTGAAGCCTTGCTTCTTCTCAGTGGGAGCCTCCAGAGTGGACAGGCTGTGTGGTCGCAGAGCCCCGTGCTCAGAGGGCTCCAGGTTTGCTGTCCTGGGACTCTGAACCTGTCTTTGAATATTTATTTGATAGGCGGAGTCTAATGGGACAGCACAGTAGTTGCCCAAAGCTTGGAGCCTTGCCTCAACCCCTAATCCACTTCTTGCCACCACCCTTCGTCTCCTGGGCAGGTTCTCACAGTTTGGAATGTGTTTGTTTATTGATTTGAGCTTTTCATTTCTGTGGTACTAGAGATCAAAGCCAGGCCCCAGGGTATGCTAGGCAAGAGCTGTAGCACTGAGCTACATCTTCAGCCTTAGAGTCACAGCTGTGCTCACCTTCTGGTATCCCCAGCACCCCAGCAATCACCCCACCTTCTTCTCTCTGCGCCACCCATGACCACACTTCCCCGCATCCCAGCAGGAGCCTGCATGCAGGTGCAGGAAGGATGTGCCTTCAGCACAGCTGATTCTCCGAGGGGTGCGGTAGCAGCTGCCCCTGTCCTTGGTTGGCCACACTGCAGTGTGGTAGGCCTGACATTAGGATCACCTCTGACCCTAGCATGACCCAGGGAATAGATGGGAGGACTCTGGAGCCCCAAGTAAGTACCCCCAAAGGGCTGCCTGTGCTGGAATGCTACATTATAGCCACCAAAGAAGAACGCCCACTCTTTCCCCAGAAGCCTTCCCTGCCCAGGGCAGAGGGCATCGATCTGGCACTGGAGGGAAGAGGCACCAGCAGCAGGTGAGCTGGCCAGCTGCGAGCTGCACTTACCCCGGGGGATCCCCATGCCAGAAGGAGCAGGAAGTGAGCTAAAACTCACCAGGCCTCCTGTTCTTTGTGGCACTCGTACCAGAACAGTGTGCGGTGTGTGCCTTGGTGAAGCCAGGATGTGGGGCCAACGGGCCGCTGATATGCTTGCAACTTTTCTGCTGCTTAAAAATATTTTGAAATAAGTTTAGGAAAACATGGTTGAAGAGAGAGAAAATGTAGGCAAGAGGAGAATAAAATCTTCAAACTCTGGAAACCTCTGAGAGAGGCACACTTTTTCTTGCCAGCTGAGCAAGGAACCTGCATTTTTCCTCTTGCACTGGGCCCTGAGGTGACGCTGTGAGTCTGACTGTGAAATGCCCTGCTACAGGTGTAGTCCTGCAGCCTCCCTGCCAGCTGGAGCTCACACTCGTGTCCATCCTGTGCCAGGCTGTGGAACCTCTCTGACGACCTTGCTGAGTGGTCCTGCACATGGACCATCTAAGGACTTGATGTCCTCCACCCCGTTCATAACTTCATGAGACGAATGCTCTTATTTTTCATCTACAGAAGTAGGAGACTGAGCTCTGGCATCGCACAGTCAGTGTGAGAGAAGAAAGTCAGACTTCCTGACTCGCTCAAAAGCTGATGTGTGCCAGCCATTCTTCCAGGGACGCTCTAGCAGGCGCACGGGCTGCCATTGCTCCAGGGATTCCCTGGGTGTCTACTGGAGACCAACCCTAGAAGGGAAGCTGCAGCACACAGGCCTCTCTTGAGCCACACTGGTGCTTTCCTGGGAGAGCAGGGAGGAGTGGCAGGTGATTGGCCCCCAAGCCGTGCGTATCCCATTCATACCTGTGCCTGCTGTGCCCCCTGCTTCAGTGACCACACTGAGGACCACACAAAGGAAACTCTGGCTGTGCATTAAGAATGTGGGACAGTTGAATATAACTTCGAAATGGAATGGCTTTTGCTTCAAAAATATTGTGGCTGGCCTGACAGAAAGCAGGGGTGGAGCAGAATGCTCTTGGCAGCCAAGCATCTGCATCTGAATTAGAGCAGGCGGGAGGAAGGGGGCTGCCTGCTTGTCCGGAGAGGACCATGAGGCGGCGGCGGTGGTGGTGGGGCCTAATCGCTGGCACTTCCAAGGGCCGCTGTCTGTTTTCTGCTTGTACAATTCCTGTCTTCCCTATGTGCTGCTGGAGTGGCAGCAAGATCTCTTTCTTTCTCCTCTGAAGAAGAAACCTGCCTCATCACCCTGTAATCTGTCAGCTGAGTCCCAGGGCTCGGAGGAAACCAGTGACAGGGTTGGGCAAATGCCTGACCCCGGCCCAAAGGAACGATGGGTTGCAGAGTAGAGGCACCAGGGTAGTGGTGAGGCTTTCTCTTCTAGGAGGGCAGCGAATAAGGATGGAAGGGTGCTGTCTCTTTGGGAAAAGCTTCCTTGGAAAAAGGGCTCTTCTGGAAAGAAACCCGGGAGGCGGGGCGTATTTCAGACACACTAGGAAGAGAAAGGAATCTCTGGAGGTGGAACTGCAGGAGTGAAGAAGAACCGAAGTAGGTGTGCAAGTCTGGCTGGAAGAGTTTTATTAAAAACACCCCAATTCTTGTCTGTATATTTCTGAGGCGTATGAAAAAAATAGAGGAAGTTACCTCTAGCGGCTTTGTGGGTTTCAAGTATGACATACAGGATATTGAGCGTTAGCCCTTGTTTATCAGGAAGTGTCTCACATGTTGGGGTTCAAACAGAGCAGCAATTCTTTGCAATGGGGTTCCACTCACTGGGAGGCATCGCTTCTATCTGAACACCACATGCACACAGAAATATTCATATAATAATAAAAAGTTATATGATCCTACGAGGATTTTGGCATAACTGTCTAAAAATATGTTCTAAATCTGGCAGGAATGTTATATTAGACCTCTGCAAAAGATTTTTTAAGAAATTTTCATTAGTGCCTATTGTATGGTTACATTCCAGAAAGCTTGGTCGAGTTAATGGGTGTTGCTCCCCTTGACAAACAGCCAACTATGTGTGAGAGTCTGGCCGATTTTTATAACTGTCTGTCGCTTCATTAATTCATCTAGCATTATTAAATTATGCAGTGTTTATTAACATAGGTTTCTTAAGTCAATAACCTGAAGTATTTGTTTAGACCCACAGACTGTTGAATATGCCATGGCGTGTTGTGAATAAGTGAAAAGTCTGAATTGTCCGTGAAAACAGGATCTTGCAAACAGTCCTTTTGTAGGGTGTCCTTAGAATGTTTCCAGAGAGACAGATTGTGGAGGCCCCAGCTTTGCTCAAACCCGTGTCTTCAGCATTCGTTCCCGCGGGCTCCACCTGAAAGTCTGGTTCAGAATTTCCCTGTGACCCTGGCCCTAGGTTTTTACTTTGTTTAGTACAGCAAGAGCTCTGAAACTCCTGGGCCAAGAAACGCATTTGCCTAAAGCCCCAGACAGTTTCTCTTAGGAAGTCTTATCAGGGAGACCTCATTTGCCTCTAATTAAAGAGAGATTTGGAGGAGCGGAAAGAACAGCCTGCAGTTCTGGCTCCTGCGGCTCCAGCTTTGCTGAATCCAAAGTTATTCCAACAGGAACGGTCCCGTCCCAGGAATGAATGGGCGCCGGGTGTTTACCATAATGACCACCGCTCTCCCCCAGCCTCCCACCGCTGCTCCAGCTAGGAGCAAGGCAAAGCCAGGAGGAGCTGCGCTAGCTCGTTTCTCCGCTCCGGTGCAAAGACTCAGAAATGACATCACCCACCTTCCAGAGCCCCGGGATGACTAAGGCAGGGCGCATACGCGGGGCCCCAGCCCTTCGTTTGGGGCGCATGTATGCAGATGAGCCCGGGGTTGCAGGGCCCGCCTTCTTCCTCGGAGGAAGTTTCTGGGGAGTTTACTGACACCTCACATGGGCGGGGAGGGCAGACTCGCGGCCGGCCTCCTCCGTGAGCGAGCACCGCGGTGATTTGTCCTCCTGGGGGAGCGAGCTGGGAGGCAGGAGCGAGTCGATAATGAAGGGGCAAGGGGGCAGCTTCGGCAGCGGCAGCGGCGTGGACCCGGCCATGGACAGCCTGCAGCCGCTGCAGCCTGACTACGTGCCTGTGTGCTTGTTTGCAGAAGAGCCTTACCAGAAGTTAGCAATGGAGACGCTGGAGGAGCTGGACTGGTGCTTGGACCAGCTAGAGACTATCCAGACCTACCGCTCCGTCAGCGAGATGGCTTCCAACAAGGTAAGGGAGCGGCGCCGCGAGGTCGTGCGCTGGGCAGCCCCGCGGAGCGTCTGCGCCCGGCTGCACGACGGCCCGGGGTAGGGGCTCGAGTCCGGGCTGCAGCCTCCCCGCTTCAAACCCTCCGGAAGCTCTAATGTCTACAACCAAACTTACTGAGTTGATGCACTTCAGATACACTGACACTGGGGCTTCCAGCTCGTGCTAGTAATGAAAATACCTGGTTGTTTTTAATTTTTTTCCAGTTGTCAGAAAACTTCAGATCTGGATAGGCAGAGCAGTGTAACATGTCATTTGCATTAATATATATTTTCAACAAGGAATTAATTTGAACTGTTTGTATCAGTGAGGAAAAAATGATCTGCCTTTTAAACTTGATAAACTCCTTCTGAGAAGAAGGACATTTAAGGATTTTCTCCGTTTCTTTTATGATGTTGGCATTGGCCCATGATAAAAAAGAAACAGTATACTTTCCAGAGACAGAAAGTTTTTTCTGAAGCTTGCTGATTTTCAAATTGAAATCAAGTTCCACCTATACTGCAAAAAAAAAAAAAAGTTTTATTTGTAATATCGAGACAAAACTTACTCTCGCAGAGCTTTCAGTTTCTATCATGTCATTTGTTTAATTAACACCTAGGCTTGGAGTTCTAATTTATGCAAGTTATATAGCGAGAGAGTTGTTGCCTGTTGTTTTTGTTTGTACTTTTTCCTTGGAGGAAATAGCTCTAGAGTTTCAAAGTATGCAAACATGCTTTGACAAAGGACTTCTCTCAGCATGGTGAACCTATGGCATGCGTGCTGTGTGTTTTTCTTTTAAGACAAAAGATGTTAACGTACGAGTTGTTCTTTCTAAACTAAAACCTCAGTATTCAGGTTCAATAGCAGTGTTGGTGCTTTGAGATGCATAAGAGGGCTTGGGGTTGCAGTTTGGCATTTGCTGTGGCTGCTCTAGACCCTCCTGAGAATGCGGTTTCAGGCTCCTGTCATTCTAACCCTGAGCCCTGTGAGACTGTCTTGGATCTCTGAGGCTGGGACGGATTCACAGGACACCTGGCTATAAACCCTGACCAGCTGAGGGCCTGGGACCTCCTCCTTCCCTGCGTTCAAAGTGTCAGCTCTGAATCCAGTCTCCTTGGCCCGTTTGAAGGGTCTGGACAGAGGAAGCACAGCATCCTTAGGAGACTACAAGGCAGTGATATGATGGGGGAAATCTTCCCACTCTGGAGCTCTTTGTTTATTGATCAATAAAAGGCCAAAAATAAGACCCTAAGTGAAATTTGAGTTCAGAGTTCAAGTTAGTGGGTGGAAATATCAAGAGGGTACACAGAAGTTTAAGCGTCATTTACTGATTTTGCTGAAACTCTCAGCTGAGGGCTAACTTGAGGGACTTTCCAGGCTGGTGTAAAACTCAACTAGCTGCTTCCCCATGCGGAGGCCTGAACAGTGTAACTTCTCCAAATCACCCTGGGACTCCACGTAGAAGGGCCTTCCCACTTGCCCGGCCTACAGGGAGCATTAGCAGGCACTCCAGGCTCGAGGATCTGGCACTGATGCCTGGCAACATGGAGACCCAACACTTGGAGGTCGGTTTTCAGTAGGTTTCACCACCTTGGACGTGGTGAGCCCATGGAGTCACCAAGCAAAAGTGGGGACCCGCCTGTAGGAGGAGGTAAAGATATTCCCAGAGGAAATACAAGTGGCAATTCCCTTTTCACTCGGACTGTTGAGGTGTCCTGGCACTCAGACCACATGTGTGTCTGGGACGCTGACATGAGACGTGGCCTTACTTGAGACTGATTCATTTCAGCATCACAGCTGAGAGCGCTGTGACACCAACGCAGCGTGGGACTCTGCTCCTCCTGGATGGAGTCGGGGCACGGAGCAAGGAGAGTTGCACAGAGCTCTCCCTCCAGAAAGGGTGGCCCCAGGCGCTGACATCTGTAGCGGAAAGCTGTGGCCTCACCTACTGCCAAGAGCTGCAGCTGGAAGGCTGTAGGCCAGAACAGTTACCTGGAGGGGAGGGTGCCCACCTGACCACTGAAGGCGATTTCAGTTCGTAAAAAAAGAGCTCTCTTTACTTCCCTATTCTGCTTTTCATCTTAACTTTTCAGACAATTGCTTTGCAAAATTTAGGCATAATGTAAACCACGGTTTGTGTGATATAATGCAACAGAACATGTTTTCATTGTTACCAAAAAGAAATCTAATCTGTTTGGGGGGGTGACTGGCTGACCTGTGGCAAGAATAACCCACAAGCCATTTTCAGTGGTGTCTAAATGATTTGAGGCTCCCATCCAAGCCTCCACTAGAAAAGCCATCCTCTTAGCAAACAGGAGATATGGAGCTAGACGCGAGTGTGAGGAGCTTCTACAGAGGGAGAAAAGGGTGGATTTGAGCCTGGCCTTAGAGAATCGAGGCTCCAGGCGGGTCTGCACCCTTGACTTGAGCCAGCGTCCTGAAGAGCAGCGCCTGCCTCGTCGGGGTGTTGTGTGACAGAAGCTATAGCCCTCAACAAGGTGCAAGTGACAGTGTAAGCTCGGGGGGGGGGGGGGGCGACCGCTTAGAGACAGCATCTGTAAGTTTTGCAAAAGCAAACCTCTGTGTCCCTACTCCTGTTTTAGCCAAGTGATCACTGGGTTTCATTTCTGATCTAAGACTTCATAGTATCCGTGGGGGCACCAGCGCCGCACTCTGGGGAAGGCACAGGCGCCCCGTTCCCCTCTACATGCAAACAGCGGAACGTTGTTTCTGAGTCTGTAGAAGAAAACCAAGTGGTCTTTCCTGTTCTCTTTGTCTTGGTGGGGCTGCATTTTATCTTTATTTTTTGTTAATTGGATCATGTCCGTTAACTTTTATAGTTTGAAGGAGATAGAGTAGCTCAAAGATTATAATTTTTTTGAGACAAGGTCTCACCATGTAGCCCAGGCTGGCCTTGAACTCGTGGCAACTGTCTTGTGTCAGCTCCCAAGTGCTGGGATTAAAGGCATGGGTGGAGCTTTACAAGGCAATGACACTGTTTTGCAGGATGAGAGGGACCCTGTGAGCATCTGTCAGCAGCCTGGTGTGCGCTGGGCATGTTATCAGGCTCTACTTCTCTGCATATCCTGCCTAAGACTCGCTCGCTAGCTTCTGCGTTTCAGTTTCCGACCCTCCTGAAGTGGAAGAACTGTCTTAACGTTAGCAAAAGGCCCTGGAGCTTGCATTGCTCCATGGCAAAGTAGCCTGATGTTTTGAAAACAGGATGCTGTGGCTCTGCAACATGAAAAGAGGAAGGGAAAGAGAAGGGGTACAGAAAGGCAGAGTGCCAGCAGCTCACCAGGGCCCAGCCAGCGACACACAAGCACTGGCCTGTCCCTCTGACCTTAGCTGTGGCTCAGTTCCTGACCTCACCGCCAAAGCCAGCCGGCATCACGGAGGAGAGGAGGAACAGTGCAGCTGCTACAAAGGTGACCAGAAGTTCCTGGCCCCTTCCTGAAGAGGCAGTCAGCAAGTACACGACTGCAGCACAGGTGGCCCAGGGAGGCTGGCCTGGCGGCCCAGGGAAGCTAGCCTGGGACAGTTCTAGGGAGAAGTAGGCGGGGCTGCCAGGGAAGGCAAGCACTTCGGTCTCCTTATCCAGAAGCTTAGCTCCCCAGGACTGGTGGGCGAAAAAAGGCAAGTGTGTCATGTGTACCCTCCTGTCAGAGGTTTGTCCAAAGAAGAGCATGCTGTGACCATCCATGAGAAGTTGGATTCAGGCATCTGTGCCCTCCCAACTTTGGCCCAAGTGCCCGCCTCTGAACTTGGCTTTCCCTTCTAGCTGTGCCCTGGGATGATTTCATGCGCAGGGTAAAGACCTGAGCCTCCTTGGTGACAGTGAAGGGGTTCCTTTTATCGTTTTCTTTTGGCTGAAGCACCAGCACTTAGGCCTTCTGTCAACATTTGCTAAGGAAACCTGCAAGCTGGGGACAGGAGGCCAGCGTTTCTCAAGGCCACTGCAGTCAGCCCGTCCAACAACACTGGCTGCACGGGTTTTGTTTTCCACTTCTCAGGAGCGATGTACACACAATACAGTGGCAGCTCCTCACCTGTGCACTTGGATGGGACAGAAGAGAGGCCCACAGTCCCACCAGCCCAGCCTGAAGTCACCTGGAAACCCAGCTGCAGGACACAGGACAGTGGCGGTGGTGGGTGGACTGTCCCAGGGTGGGGAGAGTGGTTTTCTATATAACAGAACAATCAGAACTCTTGGGGATATGCTGGATCCGACAGATCCTAAAGGAAACAGATCTTATGGCCGACACATTCATCAGGGCATTCTGTCATCAGCTGGTGGAGGCAGGTGGCGAACAGATGAAAGGGATGAATGCCACACACTGGCCGAAAGGCCAGCGATAGGAGTCAGAGCAGTGCCATCCTGAGCACCCTTCACACAGGAAGGGCCTGTCTCTGGACTCCGTGCTGCAGAGAGACTTGGCCTTGTTCTCCTCCACCTGCCCACTGGCCCGGGAGGCGAGCAGGCAGGCCAAAGGGGCCTCATACACACTCCTCTAGGCCCACTACACAGTGCTAGACCCCCATGTTCTAGGCCCAAATGACTTTAAACCTGCTTGCAGGGTCCATGTAGACCTCGCCCTTTGAATGTCTTGTGGGAAGGACCAGGCTTAGGCCAGGGAGTGGGCAGGAGGTGGCACTCGAGTGGGGAGAGCCACGCGGGAGAGCTTGCACACAGGCAGTGATGGAGGGTCCCTGCAGGCTTCCACCTAGGGCGCCTGCTGGTGGGGCTGGAGGAGAGGGGCTGGGGCAGGAGCCGGGGCCCCGCGCTGCCATATCCAAGGTGCTCAGCAGCCCCGACCTTAGTCTGCCTTCTGGGCCGTGGTTCCAGAAAGGACTCAAGGAGGTGGTATCATCTGTGTCTATGCTCCCAGGACCTCCCCTCCAGCCTCATGCCTGTGTGGGGTAACCTTGGATGAGAGCGCAGGGGAGATGGAAATCAGTCCCCTCGGCCCAGGGGGCATTCACGC